TCCTGAACTGAGCTGCTCTCACTGTGAAGACATTTCATCACCTCCAAAGAGAGTCTAGTTCCATTGTCTCTAACTCCATTTCTGAGGGGTAAAGACCTCCTTAAGCATAAGCAAATTCAGCTTCAGAGCCCCTCTTCCCACTCTATATTCCTCAGGCCCCCAACACCTTAATGGCCCTCCTCTATCTTGTTTCCAGTTTACTGATATTTCTCTTCTACTGAAGTACCCAAACTGGACAATTGTAACAGGTTAATAACAAAAGATTTGTCAAGGGATTTTCAAAATTTTCATCTCTTCTGAGTAATTCCTTTAATTAAGGAAAAAACCTTCCTTAAAAAAAGGAAAAAACCTGACATTACTAAAGGAAAAACTATGCTGACATACAAGAGTTAAAAAATATTCCATCTTTCCAGCCGGTCGTCTTCATCTGAGATGATATAGCTTGTGATATTTGAGAAACAATTTAATCTGGCAACTGAAGCAGCAGTTTCAAAAAACTGAAACTTGTTAATTGAATTAGGGTAAAGGTGAAACCTTCCTGTTCAAACACCTTTTCTGCCACCTCAGACTGTGAAATTCTTGTACATCTGTTTTGCTTATTCTTTCCAGCAGCCAAGAAAAAAGGAATTGACTGCAGTGATTTGATCATTTTAGATACTGTCAGCCAACACTGTAGGTTTCAGAGTTTTTATTTCAGAAGAAAAAAAAATCCAATAATTTAACAAAGCTTTCTTTTGACATGATTCCTTGGAAAGTTTGGACTTAGAATTTCAGGCTGATTGCTGAAACTCACAGGAAAGAATCAGGAACAAAATAAAGGGAAAAACCCCAAACCTATGTGATTTGCTTACATAAAAAGACTAATAGCATTATTAGTAATGATCTATATATAGCAAAAAATGAAATTAATTCATAAAAATATATCTTTAAATATCATTTTAAGCTTTAGCTATACCTTGTAAGCCAGATGATGCAAGCTTTAACATATTTTCTTCCTACATGTTACTACTGCATTTCTTCACAGGAGCTGCAATATTTTACAGTATAATAGGCAGAGATTATAATAAAAAAGTTAAAGAACAGAGTTTAAAATGCTAATTTCATATTTTCATGCTTTGTGGGAAGTGGGGACCTATGTATGATATGCTTATGACGACAGCTTCCTCACAGCAAGATTTGCCTATTTTTTCAGAGGTAATTAGGAAACAGAGCAATAAATCAAACAACATTAGTTTATGCAACATTTCCAGGCCCTGGTCTGAGGAGAGCTACTTCTTCCAAAATATGATTATTATTTATTATTATTTATTTATAATATTTTCCCCATAGAGCATAGCTAGGATCATTGATTCACTTTAGAACTTATCAGTTAATGTCTCAAAGTAAGACATTTAAGCCAAAAGCAAATAGGAATGATGCTGAGATGGAAATTATGTAGAAGAATTTAAACCAGAATAAAACAAAACAAAACAAAATAAAATCAAAGGAAAAAGGAGAATGTGCAGAATTTACCTGTTTGTCTCATCTTCCAACAAATAAAAGACCAGTTATATAACACTGGTCTTAAGGCTGCTTGTTCTTTCCATTAGATTTGCCTGTTTGGTTTTATCTTTTAAAAACAGGTCTATTGTCACTGTCATATTTTCTGGAAAAATCCCATTGCCCAGGATTTCTTCCTGGGAAGCTGAGATGCCTCAGCTTCTCGTGTTTTGCTGCTTTGAAATGTGATTTGGAGATTGTTTTTCCAACATGTGAATTGTTTTGACTTAATGACCAATCACCATCCAGCTGTGTTGTGACTCTGGAAGCAGTCACAAGTTTTTATTATTCATTCTTGTTAAACCTTCTGTCTGTATCCTTCTCTTTCTTTAATATAGTTTTAGTATTGCATTCTTTTAATATAATATAGTATCATAAAATAATAAATCAGCCTTCTGAGAACACAGAGTCAGATTCCTCATCTCTCAGCTTGTCCTGGGGACCTCACGAACACAACAGTCTATTGATTCTATGCTTAGATTCTATTCTGAGGAAATTTTTTCATTTGTCATGCTACAGAACTGATTGCACATAGTCTGGTTAAAGGATACACATTCACATTCCCCCTTGCACTCATCTCATACAAACTGAGGTTCTTCAGGTAGGATAGGGAAGAGAACTGGAAAAATGAGAACTCATAGGTTGAAATAACAACATTTTAAGAGGGAGCACAAATGTCACAGGCACAAGCAAAGCAAAACAAGGAATGTTCAGCCATGTCCAGGAAAGCAGGGTTCCATCACACAACTGGGGAAGACAGATGTCACCACTCCAAAATTCCCACCCTTCCTTTCCCTCTCTTTACATGCTGAGCATGTTGCCACACGATCTGGAATGCCCCTTGGGTTGGTTTGGGTGTGAGTTCCTGGCTGTGGAACTGCTGGAGTTCTGTGACCTCCTCCCACCATGTTGTGCATCCCCAGGCTCCTCGCTGGTGGTGTGGTACACGTAGCAGAAAGCCCCCTGACACTGTGCAAGCACTGCTCAGCAAGAACAAAAACATCTCTGTATTGTCAACACTGATTTCAGCACAAATACAAACCACAGCCCCATACCAGCTGCTGTGAAGAAAATTAACTCTACCCCAGTCAAAACTACCCCATGTAAATAATTTTTTAATAATGAAATGAAATGAGAGAATTGGGATTTGGGACATGTTCTCATCCTGGTCACTCAGTTGAACATTTCTCTGGGAGTCCAGATGCTCTAAGGGTATGAGCAGACCTTCAGGGCGCTCTAGACCACACAACCTGTTGAATTTAGCTTAGCAAAACTGGAAATAGCCACTGAACTGACAAAGGTCTCCAAAGCTAAGCCCATCCCTTGACAAAGCTGCTGCTGAGCAGCAAGTCAGGCTGTTGCACAGGGAGGCAAAGCTCAGCTGAGGCCATGCCCAGCACAGCATCGCTGCATCCCCATCAGCAGACCCAGACCCACCGTATCTGAGCAGGGTGAGCACAGCAGGGATGCCCACACCAGTGGGTTCCACCCACCATCCAGAGAAAACTGAGGTAATGACTCAGCCTAATATCAGTCCAGGAAATCTGATCAACAGCTGGGGAATGATGTGGACAGGGCTGGAGACAGGCAGATGAGATGAGATACGTGGCCCAGGTTTGAGCTGGAATGGGACTTCTGGCCATGGCATGAGTGTAGAAGGGTAGGGGTCCAAGGCTAGGCCTGACAGGGCACTAGAAATATCTCATAATGGGACTCAGGAGGCCCAGAGGAAGGGAGTTTTACTATTAGCAAGCGGAAAATGCTTTCAACAGGGTCTCTAAGCTGTCCTCCAACGTCTGTAGCAAAACATCCCAGTGTCATTAGAGTTAGAATTACCTTGGGTAACCGACTGTGAAGGAAAAGTAAATGACTGTAGACAGACCCATAAAAACAAAGAAATAATTAAATAGGTCCTTGTGGATGAGGAGCTTTTCAGAAAACAGAGCAATGGTTGAGGCTATTTATCATTTGGTAGATGGTGCTCTGACTTTACGGGAAGAATTAAAGCTGCTTATTACCTCTCCCATTTTCAGTATTGATCCTGCTGCTGTAAAAAATAGTGCTTGGATTATGATGCCAACTGGTTCCTGGGAAAGTAGACAGTACACAAACCATAAATTTCACATTTCCTTCCCGATGCAACAGAATTGCCCATCTTGCCTATTTTACTCACTATTAGTGTTAGCTAAATTTAAAACTATTAAAACCCTGGAAATAAAGATTAAAAGAGACCATTCTGCTCTCTGATTCTAGACCCCTTGGTTTCTGTTCCATAATGTAATTAATAAATTGCTTAGTTTAGTGTTTGAAGTAATTGGTGGTTTTGCTATCACTGTTTTTTCAAAGGCTATTCCAAGGTATATTTTTTTGCATAGCCTGTAGTCAGGATGTGAAACTGTCAATACTATTAACTCCTACAATGAAATGTTCCTGATATATTTTTTAAGTAAATGGCTAATTTTATGACTGGTAATATAATGTTATTTATTTTATAAACAAAATGTGATCAATATTTGAATCTGCAACAAGGAAAGACCATTAAACAAGTGATAACAAGGTCCCATCCTGTCAGGAAGGGATGGATGATCATCACCATGTCCTCAGAAGCAGCACTAAGCTTCTTTCAAAAGTGTTTATTAAGCAAGGTGAAATAATGGTCTGATCAAAATTAACACCTTCCCTTGACATCCACATAGCATTGAAGTGCTGTAAGTAATTATGGTAGAGAGAATCTCCACCTGACAGAAATTCAAGAATAGTGAGTTTTCTGCCTATAATCTTTGCATCATTCTCCATTACTTTGCCCAACTTTTATCCACTCTATTGCAGAGATATGCTAATACTTGTCCAATAATGGAAAAATATTTGAAAGAATCCTGTTTCCTCCAGCTCTGCATTTTTCAAGTATCTGGGCCATTGCCACTCTCTACTTATTTTATATTTCATTTATCTTTATGTTATTGTGGCTACAACAATACTCCCAACAGTGAAAGAAGGTCACTAGGACAGCTTAGTACTGGCACCAGGGCTCTTCTGTGACAGCTGCTTGTAAGACCCAGGAGTATTCTCAGTATGTGAGTGCTCTAGTGATGGAATTGCTGTGTAAATTTGGATAACCTCAAGATACTCTTATTCATAAGAAAGATGAAAATCTAGCTCTTGGCTTGCCAGTATTACAGAAACAGAAATCTTGGACCATTGTTCACCAGAACTCAAGGGAAGCTGTTTAGTTAGTTGCTTATTGGTCTTTTCTTGTCCAAGTATTAGTTAATACAACTATATTGCATTTTTGAAAAGTAAAAATCCCACAGAGAAAGGATAGATTCCTGGACTTCAACTGACAGCTTTAACTTTGGATGTTGTGAGCTGGATCCATATCTCTCTGAACACCTGCAATTACTTTTCTGTCAGGAAATCTCATATAGTAAGAAAACCCAAGAAGAAATCACTAGGCTACTCAGAATAGTTTGTAATAACTTACCTCTGGTCCTCAATAAATTCCTGTTGTTTCCTCTGAGTGAAATCACAATTTTACATCATGAGAAGCTGTAAATTACATTTTAAAAACCTGAGGTGAAATTCTTAGGAGATAGTTTTTCTTTTCTTATATGAACTTTCACTAAAAGAGAGATGCCAAAATCAGTATCTTGTTCAAGAGATCTGACTTGTTGAGTTTTGTTTTTATTTTGTGGTCATGAAAATTTCTGATTTTTTTACTAAGTTTGCTCCATCTGACTATAGAATTTGGAAAAAAAATAATCTTCCTTTCCCTATATGTGATGCTGCTGCAATTACCAATGCTTGTCCTTTATATCAGCCATTGTGAGATTTCCTACTGATTTCACAAGGATTAGTTATGTCAGTAATATTAAATGACTGCATCTGTGACTACAAAGAATTTAAAAGGATGTGATACATTGATTACTGTGTGCTTTTAAGCACTTCTGCAGTTAACTTTATGTGCTTCTTGCATTTTATGATATTTTGTTGCATATCTCATTTAGAGCAAAGTCCATCGGCAATAAATTTTCAAAGCATCAGTGTATGGATTTGGCTGACTCATGAGGGGCAAAACGACTAAATTACTAGACCTAGGGGGTTACAGAGAAAAGTTGAAGCCTTTGAGATATAATACTTATGGCAACTTGAAGCAATAAAAGAAATTTTAATTTATTTCCTGAATTAACCCTTCAACCAGTTTTCTAAGTAGGAAAGACCCAATTCATTTTTCAGAATGCAGTCTCAGTATTGAGTGCAGGCTCAGAAATTCTAGATTGCAAGAGATTAGACAGAATTTTATTGAGATCAAGTTAAAATTAAGAGAAAATCAAACTGAGACACCTGACAATTATGCTAGTAAATTAAATTTACTGAGAGTATTCCTTGGTCTTGAAATCAGGTTGTACAGACAATCTTGTTTCTAAGCTAGTAACCACTGTTATCCTGGGAAATTAGACAGTTGCATACAATCTATTGACAATCTTCATTGGAACCTTTCAATTCCAGCATCATGCCCAGGAATTCTTTGAGTGAGTTACTCATGACACATTAAAAAAAATCTTTTCAGCTAAACACACTAGCTGAAAAGATAAAAGCTTACTAGCATTAGCAGTTGTGTTCCAACACTCAGAAGCATCATTACCTACTGCATAAAGAGCTAGAAATTTTTGTCAAGTATTGATTGTATGAAATATGCACATATAAAATTTTAGATGTACATAAAATAAACATACAAAATAAATCCAGTAACAGCCATATAATGTGGCAACAGCTCCTGTGGCTTCCTATGCACATAGCAGTCTCAAACACTATGTTTCTTCATCCTGATTCAATTTTACATAATCACATTATATTGGGTTGATCTAATGCTGTTTACATATTTGCTATTGATCTCACACCACTCCTGCTCCAAGTTACAGCTGAGGAGCCCCCTGGCAAGGGAACCTGCAGCATTTCCACTGGAGCAAACTTACAGAGCACACACAAAACAGAGGCAAAGCACAACAACATTCACACGTTCCTTCTGTCACATATACTCTGATGTTGTTTATGGCCATTCTTCAAGAAAATCCTCTAACCATATTAGATCACAGAGTACTCTCAAGCTAGTTCATCATTCAGCAGAACAGCACCTTACCTGGACAAGGCTGGAGAATGTGGAGCTGAAGACCAGTAGCTATTATCAGGTTCCAAGTTGAATCTGTGATAACACAAAACAAAGGGGAACTTCTCCTGTCTAGATAAACTCTGTTGGTGTCATGTCAGCAAATACTTGCATGCATGGAGCCCAGCTGAACTAGACAAATAAAACTGTTTCCATGCAGCTCCAGAAAAATCCAAACTGTCTGGCTACTTGCAGCTCATCTGTTCTATTTTGTCTACCTTTGGAAGATATTTTGAGTGCACAGATCATGACTTAAAGCAGAGGAAACTTATTGCAGGAAACTACCAAAGAGTTCTTGGTAATAGAAAATAGAAAGAACACCATGGCTCTTGTTGGCCAAACCCACCATGATCATCTCCTGTAGCTGCTTCCAGTTGATTAACAGACTGAACACTTTCTCAAGGAACAAGGGATTGTTGAAGACTTTGTGAACAAACTATTGCACAAGTTATAGGCTGGGATAAATGTCATGGACCTCAAAGAGTGAAAAACCATACTCACATTTTGAAGCATTTTTCATCTTGAGGACAGAACATCATGTCTGAGGAATTTATAAACTGCCAGCTGAAACAGACAAATTGATTTCCAGAAAAGTGTTTTGAGCAAGAGCAGTTTGATTTGTCAAATTTGGTATTTCTCTCTGCTGACAGAGAAAATGTCAGGTGTACTAGCACAAATCAAAGTTTCTCAAGTAATGTTTGCATGCATGTCTCAAGAACAAAAGAAATTTGTTGTTACCCTGGGCTCTCTGACATATAACTGCACAGCAGGGCCAAGCGTGGCCAAGCGTGCAGGTTACTGCTGAGAATGTGAGTCAGAAGAAATTGTATAAAAGATTGTAAGCAATTTCTTGTCCTGCTTGTGCCATAAATTGTCCAAAGACTTTTATGATTTTGTGAATATCAATTACACATCTCTTCCCACACATTCAAGTAATCTCAAGCTCATACTCCTGCCACTGCTTTGGCCAGCACTAAAAGATCATTTCTCGTCCTCTGAAGCATTGCTATATATATGTTGTTCTGCTAAGCAACAAATCTGCTTTGTCTTCATTCAGAGCCTGCTATCATTTTTCAGAAAAACCTAATGCAGTTTTCAAAAAGCTGAACTGATCACTCCACACTGCATGCAGAGATTGAATCAGAACAGAAAACAGTAAAATAATCCCATCCCACAATATTTCTAAGTCATGCCATGATGTGCTACGGTAAACAGGCTGTATCATTTCATAAAGAACAGTGATGTGAACAAAACTTAATTCCAGTTTAGAATTCCACACAATTCCAATTGGTTTATATATTTGTGTTCTTATTCACCTTCTTTTTCCTTATGTCATGGTTTGAATCCCAGCTGGGGATGAAGCGATGCTGTGCTGGGCATGGCCTCCCTGTGCCACAGCCTGACTTGCTGCTCAGCAGCAGCTTTCTCAAGGGATGGGCTTAGCCTGGGGGACCTTTGTCAGTTCAGTGGCTGTTCCAGTTTTGCTAAGGTTGTGTGGCCTAGAGCACCCCAAAGATCTGCTCATACCCTTAGAGCATCCAAGGGCACAATTCAGCCACATCATGAGGACTCAAGGATCGGGGTGGGAACATGTCCCAAAATCCAATTATCTCTTTTCATTTTAGGAGTAAAATACAATAATAATGATAATGATGACAATAAAAAGGGAAAGAAAATAACAAAAAAATTATTTATGCACAATAAAATTGCTCCACCCACTGACTGATGTAAGACCCCATTCCTGAACCTAGATCAACCCCACTTCCAGGTAACTCCTCCCGTTTATATATTAAGCATGACATTCTATGGTGTGGAATATCCCTTCAGCCAGTGTTATCCACACCATTCTCATTCCAAGTTCAAACTACAGCACAGTATCAACTACTGAGGAGAAATTAACTCTACCCTAGCTGAAACCAGGATATTCTAGTAATTTACACAGTTTTACTTCTTTGAACTTGTGTCAGCTGTTAAAACATGGTAAAAATCAATTTCACTAAAATAACAAGAATCATGTGTGAAAGGGAATGAGAGACAACTGTAAATATGCATCTTTTCCTTTAAAATATATATTTTAATGTAGAGCCCTGCACTTCTCTGCAGTATGGAAAAAATAGCAAAAAACTGAAGTGGAAAACTTCTTTACTAACACAAATATAAAAGCATGACAATATTTCATGACAATATTTCAGGAATGCATTACTCAAGTTGTTTACCCAGACAGCAAAAGAAGCGGGAGTTTTTTGCTCAACCAAGAGCCTAAAGGTTCTACTCTCATCATTTTTATAACTCACACTCTAATAGCTTATGAATCTGAACCAAATACCTTCTCAAGGGGAGCCTTGAGTTTCTCCAGACCAGTGAGAATTTCAAACATAAATCTTTGCTGAACAGGAAACTCTCAGATGTTGTTAAATAGCTTTTAATGAAGACCTCCTGCTACCTTCCAAGCCTCATTCTTTTGTTGAGATTTAAAAGTATATTGCACTATTTCTAAATTAGTCACACTTGAAGCAATCTCCAGGGGTTTCCTTGCCAGTCTCTCAGGTTGCATCACAGAAATTTTGACTTTATGAACTGTGAATGGATTGGAGAAACTGACAAATTTGTCAAGCCTGTATTGGAACATAAAGACAGCTTGTTTGATGCAGTAAATCATGTGAAACTATTTCCAAGGAGCCTCTTGACAAGCTGTCAGGACATTGGTTGGACAAGCACCAGGTAGCATTACTCAGGACTGGAACAGCTAGCACAGAGAGGAAACATGTCATTTCAGCTCTGTATTCCACTTCTTGAGAACTGGTTGTCATATGATAGAAAATACCCTTTCTGTCAGATTGATTTTATATGCTAGGGCTCTACAAACTGGCTGCTTTAAAAGGTGCACAATCCCTAAGTGTAACTTCAGGCACAAACGCCTAAACTAGGCAGGTCCCCTTTTCTCAGCAGTGGGGAGAGACAGACTTTTCCAGAGACTACTTCAGAGATCACAGTGAGGTTCCTTCCAGGAGTTCCCTCTGAAATGGCTCATCTCTGGGCTTCTTCTCAGCCCACTTCTCTAGCCAGCTGAGGTCTTCCTCAAGAGTAGGCAGCACAGCCATCAGCTGTTCCTCCCAGTTTTGCATCATGTTCAGACTTGCTGAGGGTGCACTCTATCCCCTGGTCCAGGCCATTAACAAAAATGTTTTGGGCAAAAATATATCAGCTGATGGTTCATTCCATTAAAAAGTGTCCTCCTGCAGGACTTTGCCCTGATAACCACAGTTGGAGCAGCCAACAGATGAATGTGGTTTCTATTCTCTCAGACCAATTTTTGGTTTTCTGGACTGTTTTCCTGTTCTTCTAGTTAAAAAAGACAATGGCAGTTACTTATTCTTATGTTCTGAGGATGTTTCTCTTCTCTGTGAAAAATTGTGAACAATTTTCAGTAGTATTTTTAAAAAGTACAATTCTGCACTGGTTTAAAGGAAAAGCATTGTGTGAGATTCATGGCCCCACCTGATAAGCTGATGTTTCACAAAACCTACTGACATCCTTTGTCTTTCATAAGAGCCTTATAAAATTTTAAAATCTACTGTAGGAATATTCCTCTTTGGTTATCAATAAACTTAAATGTTAGCCTCTATTTTGTTTCAGAGCTCTTAATCATTTTAGCTTATTTCCTAGGTGAGATTGTATAGCTTTACAAGAAGTTATAGATGTGTGGTCAGATAGTAAAATGTTAATTGCATCTTTTATTGGTTTTATAGCCTTTTTTCTTGTCCTGTTTCTTTGTTACCTTGTTTTCCATTTCAGTTCTTCACAACAACTTTCTCTGATGTAGAAATGCCTATGACCGTTAAATAATTCATATAAGGATTGTTCCTGAGTTTCCATAAATATCCATTAATCTCTGAAATGTCACTCTAAAGAGAGTCACATCAATTCTCAGATCACTACATGCCAACATCTGTTGATACCAGAGGGAGGTTTGCTCTGTTATACATTATCATGTTATACATTACCATTTGAGGTGGTACTGGTACAACTTCCATTTTATTGATTTTATCTCACCCAACAAACATCTCTAGAACAATCTGATTCCTGAAATGAATATAAGAAAAGAATATTTTTAATATTCTGAGCAGTGTATTGCTTTATTTTGCAAGCACATCATGTGGGAAATCACTCTATATTTCAGTGGTTATTAAGTTTAGAGTAAGATTATGGTAACAAATAGACTACTTATCAATCAATGTCTTGCTATTATCTTGCCTGGGAACTTCATGATTGCCATCTCTGAATCTTTTTATCTGTGAGATGTGCCAAACTTCACTGCCCTAAGAAAATTCTGTAGAAAGTCCTTTCCATAGAGGCCAGAGACCCTGGCTAATCTTTTCTTCTTCTGATCCCAAGAATTTCATGAAACTGCTATGAAGAATGATGGATGAGAAAAAAGGCAGAATTTGGTAGCGATGGCATTTTTAAGAGTTTAAGAGATGTACAAAGTAATCAGCCTCAATCACTGCTGCAATAATTTTTGCCTTTTTTATTTCTGTTTGTGATTTCTAACATCATTTAATAAAATATACTAGTTGGGAGATATTTGAATCCTCTGAAATTGCAGTTGACTATTTTTCCAGTGAAGGTAATATTGTACACTCTTTATTATAACCCTTTTTTTACACCTTGTTCATGACACCTCATACCTTTGGACTTTTTCTCCCTCTTGACTTCTCACAAGTGGACACTGGCTTCTGTCAGATCAACAAGAAAATGGACAGATGACTCACTAAGAAATTGGACTGCAACTGGGGCAAAGCTTAATTTGCTGCTGTCTTAAAACTACTTCTCGTCAAACTGACCTTATTACATTGCTGGCCTTCTCTTGTGCCAGTTGAAAGCACTTACTGTCAGTGGCTGTGTTCTCCTCAGGACAATGCAGTGTAAGTTCCTGATAGATCTCCTACTTGCTAGAGTAATAAAACTAATAAATATATTAGTAATAACTAATAAATATATAAATAAAAATAAAATTTGCCCGTCCTGAAAGAAATTTAGAATTGGACATCAATACAAATGAAGTTGGCATTTTCAACGCATAGCAATATCTGTTGAATACTCCAAAAGTCAGACTAATAGCTAAAAAATACACCCTTTATATAGTATTTGTTTAAATTAAAATCTGTGAGGCAGGCTAAAAAGAAAGGAGTTATTAAAGCTGAAAGCAAGTAGAACTTTAGAATTCTGATGAATCTATTCAGTTCTTAAAGAGTGACAAGGTGGTATGGATTTTCTATTTGAAAATGTAATGTGGATAAAATCTTTTGTGTTGGCGTGGCAAGGTTTTGGGGGTGAGTAGTTGCAGGGGTGGCCTTTGTGGAAGAAGGTCAGAGATTGTCCTGAACTGGACACAGTCATTTCCAGATAGCTCACCACCCATCATAAGATGATCCCATCACTGAATTTGATGTTGCCTCCGCAAAAATCTTTTTATGAAAGAATGGAAACTCTTGAAAGAGGAGGAGAGAACAGGGAGAAAATGAGGGAACAGAGATTGGTGGAGGGAACCTGAGGGAAACAGCAAGAGAATATCGAGGTCAGAGAGGTAGGAGCTGTTCCATGGCAGAGCACAATTCCCAAAGGCACAGAGCCTGTGGAAGGCCCATGCAAAGCAGAGGTAAAAAGCAAAGAAGGAGCACCAAAAGGAGCCCTGACTTGCAAACAATGCCACCACTGGATCCCTTGCCTCACTGAAAGTACAACCTGGGACTGAAACAAGCTGGAACGTGAGAGGGGCCTGATGCAAAGCTTGGAAAAAGAAGTGGTGCATTTTCTTAAATGTTTTAATGGTTATTTCTTGTTTTGCTTTTGTTTCCCAATACCTGAAAGAATAATTAAGTATTTATATTAATTTGCAATAAATAATTTGCCCAGTTTGAGTCTACTCTGCCTGTCACACAATTGTGGCCTCCTTGTCTTTATCCTGAAACACAAGCTATCTTCTGTTCTGTTTGCTCTTCAGCCATGCTGAAAGTGAGAAGAGTGAGAAGGAGCTGTGTGCTTGCCTACCAGCCAGGACCAGTCCACCACAGACCTTTATTGGTAATTATCTTTTTCATAATGTTGCTGACCTTCTCAGTAGCCCCCCTTCTTACACAGAAATGAACCTTGTTTACAGTAATCCACCTAAGTCACAGAGAAGCTAAAACTGCCACCCTCACTGCTGTAGATGCTTCAGAGACAGCTTCACATTGCTGTAGATGCTTCAGAGACAGCTTCACATTAGAGATAATATATTCAGATGTGCAGTATTTGATCAATTGCAATGTTCTGCACACTGAATAACACAAAATATTTGCATGAAAATAGCAAAGAAATACTCATATTCACCAAGGTTGAGACAAACGTGATCTACCTGACTCTTCCTAATCTCTCTCTGGAAGAGTGTCCTGTTTTTCTATCTTGTACATCAGTTATAAACGATAACATTAATTAATATATGCAAATCATTTGGCCACCTAATTTAAGAAAGCATTACTTCTATTAACAGAAGCTGCAAGCTCCAAATTTGGTGTAGTATTGTGTTCCTTCATGCTTGACTGTTTCTTAAAGATGCAGAAGTCAGTATCAGGAAGCTTTGTCTAAATTCAATGTCACAATGCAACATCCAACTGCAATTTTTCAAAATAATTAGATGCTTGGTTGAGCACCTAGTCAGAGTCAATTCAGTCAAATGCAATGACTGTGATATATCAGAATATGCTGTTTACTGATATGCTTATAACTGTTTGCTACTAATCAAATTATCAAAGAAATTTTTAAATCTATTTTTGAAATTTCTTTCCACTTTGTAGATTTCTTACCACATGTTATCTAAAAACAATTAAACAAACAACATTAAAACACACAAACCACAAAACTGAATGACATTGTCAATATACAAAAAAGAACAAAGAACAAATGTAGCATGAAAATGGGGCAATGAACAATCAAGCTCAATTGTTTCAAATAAAACTAAATGGCAGCTCTTAAGCTCATATTAATCACATCCAATCAAATGCAATGAATATCTGCTAAGTCACAAAAAAGCAACAAATTGTAAATATTTCACAGTCTGCATATGAACAAATTTCCATCCTTGTCTAGTGATTACTTTAAGTTCACATAAAGAGCTGAGAATAATGCTGAGAATAATACAGCTTTAAGAAAGGAATAAATTTAAAATAAGCAAAGGTGTCAAGCCAAATCTAAAAAAAATCATAGAAGAATAGAGTTAAAATGACCTTCAGAAAATATCTTACCTGTCTATCCATCTACTCTAAGACAAATCATCTAGCTAAACTAAATATTTTATTAACCTGGCCCAAAAAAATCCATTCAGTAATGCAGATCTCAGAAAAATTATTCCATGCCTCAGCATTAATTTTTTTTTGGTCAGGAAGTCTGTCCTATAGTCAAATAAAAATAATTCACTACAGAATTTAAGGTTATTACTTCTCCTCCTCTGTACCATGGACACACATACACACACACACACACACACACACACAAATACTCTTTTCTCAAAAAAATATGTCTCTTTTTACACATACATGACTCCATGTTAGAAAATTTTTAGGCTCAATAACCCCAAATCTTTCCATCCATCTCTGGTGGTCATATTTCCTAAGCCTTTCCTCATTCACACTGATGTCCTTCAGAATGCCTCCAATGGACTGATGGTTTTATTTTCCTCAAGCTTTATGACAGAACATGATGCATTACTTCAGCTTATCAGAACTCCTGAACAGGAAGGTTATTTTATGCACCTTACAGGTTATTTGTGCAATTTGTTAATTTTTCTTTTTTTTAGAACGGAATGACATGTCTGGCTCACATGTGATTCATTCCTTTCTTCTCTAAAGAACTGCCATTTAGCCCATTGCTTATCCTTGTGTATTTACACTGTGATATTTTTGTTTTAGTATCTTTTGCTTGTCTCTTTTGACTGAATCTTATTTTCTAATCATTTTCTTCAATTCAACAAAATACTTTTGTAGGACAATGACGAGTCTACATTATCAGTATCTGCTATTATTAAGAAACTTCAATTTACCATACTTCCTTGGTGTGATATATTTTACAGAGCATGGCAACAAGACCATTGCCAAGGTTGTAAGAACATGCCAACATATTCTCACAACTCTGCAGGGCCTAAACATCTGCCCTGAGATTTCTGTGGAAATTGAGCTCGTGTAGTACCTCTCAAGAGCTCAGCAGTCTGTTACATAAGGTCTTGACATAGTTGAAAAATCCTGATTTCCACAAGATTTCATGTGGCTCTAAGTGCCATTGAAGTCCAGAAGAATATGAAACATCAAGTACACCACAGCTGCACTTTAAAAAATGTGTTCAGTAGTGGATGAAATCACAAGCACTCTTGAGTTATGCTGTTCTGGTTCTGGCCAGGACAGGGTTAATTTTTTGCAGTAGCTGGGAGAGGGCATAGCTGGGACATATGGGGGTACATATGCTGCACCACCTCATGTCATTGCTGGAGGCAAAGGAAAGGGACACTCTTCTGGGGAGAAGAGGTTACTGCTAGTCAAAAATCATGGTATTGTCTGATATTAGGTTTTCTTTTTCATGGGAATAGTTTCTATTCTTGTACTTTCTGTCATTAGTATAGTTGCTGTTACTGTTCATTTTCTTGTTCCATTGCTCCTTCAAGTAAATTGTTCTTATTTAAATTAAATTAAATTGTTCTTGTTCTTAGTTTCACTTCTGACCTTTGCCTTTCATGTCTCCAATTCTCCTGTCCATCCCTCTGCAGAGGAGAGAAAGGGGAAAATGGGGGAGTGAGAGAGAGTGGAGCACAGTTTGAGAGTCTTGCTGGGGGCACTGAACTGGGGAGCACCATTGCTAAGCCATGACATAAACAAATTCTAGAAGTAAAGACGAGCGCAAACTCATCACTAAACTGTTAGATACTAACACAGAGGTCAGTCCTTTGTCTGCTTCCCTCTTATTCAGCTGCTGAGGGAGACTTTCTGTCAATTAATGAAAACACAAATTGTATATTTTGCCTGACTTTGAACAGTTTGGCTGCTTCCAGGTGTAA